CCTTCCCTCTGACAGTCGTCAGTCTGTTCTTAAGCTTGGTTTTAAGACATAGTCTTATATAACTGTTGTACCCCTATAATTGTAAGCCTGCATTCAAGTAGTTATAAGGAATAATGTTAGTGGGTACTTTTTTAATCATGTAAAATTTCCAGATGTTTTACCTGCTGGGTGGTTCCTTGTAGTGACTGCTTTTTAAATTGTTGTATTTGAAAAAGCTCATCATGTACAAAATCTGCCACCCACTCCCTTTCCAAGGAATCCTTGTTTTTGCGCACTCCCTATGTTGGGGTGTGTTGTCCTTGCTTCTGTGTGTACCGTCTACGTATTTTCTCTTAAATGTAGAGTTTTGTTTTCTTCAGTGTATTAGGGTTATTTAATACCATGACTTGTGTTCCTCTGTGATTTTTTAATATTCTTTGATCATGGAGGGTTTTAAGAGTTTCTTGGTCCTTTTCTTTACCAGCATCTAAGGAAATGGTTTCTGGTTTTTGGAAACTTAATCACAGCTGGGTGCTACATGCTGTTAGGACCCGTCCCAGTCTTGCACATTCAAAGGTAATTTTTTTTCTTCTGTATTTTTGGTCAGATAGCATTAAGAATTATTTTTTTAAAAATTTGCTGTGAGATTGGTATGGCTTAGTATTTCAAGCCTTAATACTGAAATAATGACGTTGAGTTATGACTGTATTGAATTGTTAGACTGACAGTATTTTACCTTACTAGAAGCTAGCAGTGGTACAATCAAACAGGAATGCCTAAGGTCTGTATCAAATGAGAAACATGCTCACTTTCCCTTTGTGCTTCAGTTGCACACTTGTTTGTTGCCACCTGCCTTTAGTTGATAGTTCTTAGAATATGTTTTTGTTTTTGCTACTCCTCCTTACTCCTTAAGGCAGGTACCAGATGTGTGTGTGTGTGTGTGTGTGTGTGTGTGTGTGTGTGTGTGAGATCCTTAGCATGTAGTAGCTGTTCATTAAAGCTTGTTTAATATAATTGATTTGCTGAATAAAGTGAGCAAATTACTTCAGGGATAAATCATGATATGGAAAGAACAAGGACTTCAGGGTCCTTCAGATTTGGGATTACATCCTGGCTTTGCCACTCACTAGCTGTGTGAATGTGGGCAAATCACTTAACTGCCAAGAGCCTCAGTTTTTCTNTAGCATGCAGTAGCTGTTCATTAAAGCTTGTTTAATATAATTGATTTGCTGAATAAAGTGAGCAGATTACTTCAGGGATAAATCATGATATGGAAAGAACAAGGACTTCAGGGTCCTTCAGATTTGGGATTACATCCTGGCTTTGCCACTCACTAGCTGTGTGAATGTGGGCAAATCACTTAACTGCCAAGAGCCTCAGTTTTTCTATCTACAAAAAAGAGTCTATAATAGTACTGTCGAAATAACTTTCTAAGCCCAAGAAGATGTTCCTGCCTGGGCTGCCACGTCAGCAAACTGAAACTTAGATAACGTTGGCGTCCCTACCAGTGCTGTCCTTAAGCGGAAAGGCAGGCTCGCCAGTCAGCCAATCCCAAACGCCAAACAAGGCCGACTCTGTAGCCCAGCCAGTCAGATAGTTTCTAGCTTTCTCTCCCTGTTCTTTATTCTTTATCCTATCAGCAGCCTGCCTTCTGCCCATTGTGCAGTTCTCTGAAAGGAGACTGTTTGTATCACCTAAATTGTCTTCATTCTGAAACAGTACTTACATCACAGGGATGTTCCAGGATTCGGTGAGGTAATGGATGCTAAGTAACTGGCATAGCGCCCAACACGGAACAAATACATTAGTTTCCTGTCACTCTACCACCTCCCTTCTCTGACATTTTTCAGTCAATTGAATTTCAAAGCCAAGCAATTGAAGGAACATTAGCATTGGCGTTTTCACCAATTTTGAAAGGATTTTGTGTGCTGATAATAAAGCAGGTTGACTCCAGACGTGGGATATATGTAACAAAAGACACTGAGGTGTCAGGATGAATTGACCCCCTCATCCCCCAATAAGGATGCTGTCACTGAATGAAATGGGACCAGACAGGAATGAGGACAGAACTAGTCCTGGAATCTGTGAAAGGAACTTCTCTGGGATCCAGCCTGCCCTCCTTATCGTGAAACTTTGTGTCTCTTAAAATGCTGATTTTTTTTTTCTTTCTTTCTCCGAAACTCTTTTGTAGTCAGCTGTGGCTGCTGGTGTTGATGTTAGTTATCAATGGCATCTCTGCTGGAATGAGTTTAATCCCAACTTTCCCGGAGATCCTCAGTTGTGCCTAGTAAGTTACTTCCGTTGCTTGAAGAGCTGTATTTTGAATAGCTGTGAGCATTGAGGGCTTTCTTGAATTTCTCAGTTTTACAAGATTTTGGATTTTTTCCCCCCACAATAATTTCATGTCACACGCNATTTTCCAAGATTTTGGAGTTTTCCCCCCCACAATAATTTCATGTCACACACTATTGTGATATAAATAGTATGTGTAATAATGCAATAATATAAATGATAATATATAGTAATAATACAGTAATAGCTAAACTGGGTTGTGGATAGATGCTTAGCTTAGTTTATGCCTCTGTACAGGTATACTTTTAAAAAAACAAAGCAAAATGGAAAAGCCTCAGCATTACTCCTCTCTCATGGAGAAGATCTATGCAAGAGCATAGAGTGACCAGGTAAAATGATTCTAGTATCAAGCCCGATGTGTGTGGGGTTTTCCAAGCCATTCTCTCATCATACCAGCTGGATGTCCTACAATTCAACTCAGTTCTGACGCTGACAACCCAGGGATAGCATCAGATTTCATAGGCTAAGGGCTCAGTTCCACAAGAGTGTCCCCACTTCAACTGCCAATCACAAGTCTAGGTTATCCCCCGTCCTTCTGACTGACTGGCCCCACGACCCTTTCTTTGGGTCAGATTCACTTGCTAGAGCAGCTCACCGAACTCCAGAAACCAGTTTACTCCCTAGATTATGGGTTATTCACAAAGCATAATAAAGGGTATGAATCAGCAGATGAAGAGATACACGGGGCCAGGTCCTGAACAAAGGCGCTGCTGTCCTTGAGGAGTGTGGGGCCCTGCCCGATGGCAGGTGTAAGCATTCCGGTTCACCAACCAGGAATTTCTCTGAACCCCGTCCTTTTGGGTTTTTATGGAAGTTTGATTGCTTCGGCATGGTTGATTAAATTATTGACCGTTGGCAATTGATTCAACCTCTAGCCCCTCTCCCCTCCCATAGGTGGATGGTGTGGAGGGGTGAGAGGGCGAGGTGAAAGTTTCAACCCTCTAGTCACAGGAGTGGCTCTCCTGGCAACCAGCCACCATCCTTAGCTGTTTTCCAAAAGCACCTCATTTATATGACAAAAGACTTTTATTGCTTTCCATCAGTTAGGAAATTTCAAGGATTTGGGGAGCTCTGTGCCATAAATGGACTAAGACCAAACATGTTTTTATTATAAATCACAATATCACACCAGGCATTTGTCACTTGGCCAGCAGCCTTCTGTTTAGTAGGCATGATGATGTAGAACGCAGAGTGAACTTGAGGGAGTTTATTTCAAAGTGAACTTCAGGGCGAATATTGGTCATTAGGCTGTGTCAGTTCAGCATCTCACAGGAGTAAGGAGCTGCCTCTGCATTTTCTAAAAGTTGCCCATTGCTCCCTTTATATGCTCATCTCATTTTAAGAATTTCTTAATCATATATATTCTTCTGAGCATTTAGTGCAAATGGGTTGTGATTCTTAATATCGTATCTTATATTTTCAACAAAGTTATTTTTTAGAAAACGGTAAAGTAAACATCAGTATGAAAATTCCTTCAAATTAGATTAGCTTTTTATCTTAGAAATGGAGTATTCTTGCTGTTGGTTTTGTCCAGATTATCCCTGCTTTACTTTATCTATTATACACAGTACTTTCTAGCACACAGGTTTCCCTTTCAATCACAGATAACGCTCTTGCCTCTCTTTGCAGTGAAAACGGATTTGAAGAAGATTTAAGTACATTGGCACTCGTGTCAGGTCTCTTTAGTGCAGTGTGGTCAGTTGGGTGAGTAGCCACTGGATTCTGTTCACAGTGGCAAGATGGAAACTACTATCCCCCAGTTACAGATGATGAAATGGGAACACCAGATGAGTTGCACCAAGGCGCACGGTTCATTTAGGGCACAACCTGAGTTTAACCTACACCCTCTGACTCTAAGATCATTAGGTAGTCCAGAAGTTTTAAAACCTAATCAAAATGGTCCTGTACACTTTGTCTTATAAAAATGCTGTTTTTAAGTTCACTTATTAGGAGCATATCTGTTTTTAAAATTGAGTTATTTATTTTTTGCTCTCTACTATACCAGAGGGGTAATGGTATGCTGGCAATGTAAATATCGTCCATAAATATGTACTGAATTAAATTATTTTTAATACAAACACTGAGAATAATAGAATAATAGAGAGAATAATATAAAGATTCTTTTGAATGCCTGCCATTTTTTAATTTTTGTATAAAGTACCAACTTTCCAGAAGCAGTTATAATTTTACAATCATTTGAAAGATTTAAACATCATAATTTATCAGATAGAATTACTTTCTTATACCCACCTCTATGTCCAGGAATCGCCTTTTTTCTTTAGTATTAATAGTTCCAGTTAAATGAAGACCTATGACTGAGAGACCATGCAGCCTTTAGAAAGGACATCTCTGCCCGGCCAGGGGTGGCTCAGCGGTTGAGCGTCAACTTAGGATCCAGCCAATCGGGGTTTGATTCCCAGTCAAGGCACATGCCCAGGTTTCCAGCTCGACCCTCAGTCGGGGGTGTGCATGAGGCAGCCGATCAATGACTCTCTCATCACTGATGTTTCTATCTCTCTCTCCCCCTCCTTTCCTCTCTCTGAAATCAATAAAGATATGTTAAAAAAAAAAAGAAAGAAAAAAAAAGACCATGTCTGAAAGGACATCTCTCTCCCTCCCTCTCTTTCGTTCTCTCTGGCACTACTTAATACCCTTTCTTCTTTTCATTGTTAGTGCTTTTATTGGACCCACACTGGGTGGATTTCTGTATGAGAAAATTGGTTTTGAATGGGCAGCAGCTATACAAGGTCTGTGGGCTCTGACAAGTGTGAGTAATCAGTCTTTTGTTTTCATTTTCCTTACGTTTATAGAGAAACGTGACGGAGAATTTACATTAACTAGTACCTTTAATTGTGTTAAAGGGATTAGTGATGGGCTTGTTTTATCTATTGGAGTACTCAAGGAAACGAAGAAGGTATGGTCAACTCTTGATTTTTTTTTTTCTCCCTTTAAAAGTCAGCTGTGGGAATGAAAAAGAAATAGCATTTTACCTCCATTCTTCCAGTCAGCAGATTCCTGGGCACTCTGAGCCTCAGGACTTGGTAGACACCTTTAAGGAGGTAGTTGGGTAGAGATTGTAAGTACTGAGTTTTTTTTAAGATGAGAAATATTAAGGCTCTTCTTTCCTTCAATGTAGATCTGAACTTCAAAATATCCTTTGTACAGAGGAGGAACAAAGTGCTCTCTTGCCTGATGAAAACCAGCCTTGAAAATCTCGGATTGATGCAGGGTTGGGAGATGAATGTTCCTGACCTTGAATATTAAAGTTGGAAACTTTGAAAACTGTTCTTAATTTTACACACAGGACTCCATGAACCCTACACCAGCATCCTGGATGTGTCCACATATTTTTGGATAGTCTGTGATGGGTGCATGTACTCTTGTCCTACAAAGGTGACCTGCTGAACCAGCCATATTTGAAGCATTACATATGAAAAGAGTAGTTGAAAATCAACAAAATTTGAGTTTTTAGGTGATCAGAGTTGGGCTTGAAGACGTTACTCACCCTAGGTCTCCTGTATCTCTGTTTACTTTTTATTCTAAATGCACTGATCCTGTGAATGTACCTTTGTATATTAACATGGAAAGAAATGATACGCCTAAAGGAAAGAATATGTTTCAAGATAATATAAATGACTCAATATATGTAGAGCAATGACTATGAAATCAGTTTTGAAGAGATATGCTTTATCTGTGTCCTGAGATTTTTGTTTTTGTTCAAAGGCAAAATTCTTTGAACAAAAACATGCAAAAACTCTGTAACATTCCCTGGCCCTCAGATCTCCTAAAATTTTTGTGTGGAAGGTAGGCCAGCACTACTTGAGACTTCCCTTTTTACAACGTACTTTCAGTTATGGTCTGGATTTATAAACAGTGCTTGCTTTAACATTCATTTCCCATAATCTCTCTTTCAGTTCTACCATCTTTTTATTTTTTATTATTATTATATTTTTTTAAATCCTCTCCTGAGGATATATTTTCCATTGCTTTTCAGAGAGAGTGGAAGGAGGGGTAGAGAGAGAGAGAGAAAGAAAGAGAAACATTGATGTGAAAGAGACACATCGATTGGTTGCCTCCTGCATGCACCCCAGTGGTCCAGAGATCGAGCCTGAAACTGAGGTACGTGCCCTTGACTGGAATGGAGCCTGGGACCCTTTAGTCCTCAGGCTGATGCTCTAACCACTGAGCTAACTGGCTGCAGCTCCACCATCTTTTTATTTTATTTTTTTTAAATATAGCTTTATTGATTTTAGAGAGAGGAAGAGAGATGGAAACATCAAGGATGAGAGAGCCAGTGATCGGCTGCCTCCTGCACGGCCCTGACTGGGGATCGAGGCCGCAACCTGGGCATGTCCCCTGACCTGGAATCGAACCCTGATCACCTGGATCCTAGGTCGACGCTCAACTGCTGAGCCACGCCTGGCTGGGCTCCACCATCTTTTAAAAAATATATATTTCTAGTGTATGTATCCGTTCCTAGAGCAGGTGATTCCACAGAAACTCTTGTGTGTTAGGGAAGTTGTTCCTCCAACTTCATGTAAAATCCATGCTATTGTTTGAAGAGAGAATCTCTATTGTGTGATTCTCATACCTCCTGATCCATTTCCATGGTGTATCAGCCACATTCACCTTTTTTAATAGAAGGAGTGGCTTTATCTATTTGGCTACACAAAAATATTCATTGAATGCCTTTTCTGAACCGACCCTGTAACAGGTGCCAGCAATTTCACTGTGATCAAGATAAGCACAATCTCTGCCTTTATCTAACTTATATTTCAGGGGATGGGATGAACAATAGATAAATACCAGAGTCTCTATAACAACAAGGTGATTTGAGAAAGGAACTGGCTGGGGCTGATTAGGTGTGGGGTCCTAATTGAGACAAGGCCTCTCCATGAAGGTGGGACTTTTGAACTGAGATCTGAAGGGTGAGAATGAGGCAGCCATTCTGAGAGCGAAGCAGAGCACAGTATGTGCAAAGGGGCTTGGGGTGGTCAAAGATGGGACCATGGCCTGCACATCTGGAGCTCCAGTAAAGAGAGGAGGTTGTGGAAGTGTGGAGGGGCCAGCTTTTAGGTGGGGATGCCAGAATTTGATTCCTGTTTCTGGAAGGTTATTGTGCGGGCCTGTGGATGTGAGTGGGATGCGATTTAGCAGGGTGGGGGAGATATCTTGGGAAGCTCTGAGAGAGATGTTAATGGTTTGGATCAGGGATGTGGTGGTGGAGATGCAGAGGAAAGGGTGTGTTTGAAAGTGGAACCAACAGGACCTGCTGATGTGAGGGGAGAAGGGAGGAGGAATTTAGGATGACTTGCAGTTTGGCATGAGGGTAGGTATGGGTGGATGGCAGTACCTCTTAGTGAGATGGAGAAGAACAGGAGCAAAACAGATCCTGAAGGAGCAAATTAAACCACAATGTGGTGCTCTTTCACACCACCAACACCAAAAATTTATGTAAAGGATGACAAAACCAAGGTTGGGGGAATGGAGAGCGTCTCGAAGTACATAGGTCTGGAATACTGGTTGGCATTCATTGCCAAAATCGAATATTCACAAATTCCATGAACTCTTCATTCTGTCTCTGCTCCCAGGTCCCATCTCCAAGAGACCTCCCTCCAGAGGGTGGTTCAGTGCCTGGGGAGCACGAGGGGGGAGGGGGAGGGTCACCCATCCGCCGTTTCCCAAAGCGACACCAGGAGGGAGTGTGACCCCCGACCGGCTGCATTCGTCTAGGGTGCAGAGCAGGTCCACGCCTCGATCGCCCTGGACCCGCTTCAACGTTTTTCTTCGCGGAGCTGGGGCGTTTGCGCCGTTGCGGCTCCTAGGTCCAGGTCCAGCGGGCAAGGTTANGGTTGCCGCTCCTAGGTCCAGGTCCAGCGGGCAAGGTTAAGTTGAGCGCCTGCGGTTCCCGGCGCTGCCACGCGGGGCCGCTATCGCTCCTGGGAATCTGCCGGCAGCTCCCAGTGGGGCTCTGGCTGCAGGGCTCCCGCTTTCCCCGCCCGGCGTGCGGGTGTCACTCAGCACCCACCGCGGTTACCGTTACCAGCGCTGTTGACTGTTGAGAGTTCAGAGTCACCACAAAGATTCCAAGCTTTCTGGTGAGAGAGCTTTTTATTTCCATTCCCAACAGACTGCTGTCAATACATGTCACCCGGGATACAATGTATTTAAAGACACGTTGTATGAAACTAACCTTGTCCCTTCCTCCTTTTATGATTTTGCAAGTAGTATTAAAATAAATGACAAAAAAAGTTTAAAATACGAGAAAAAGTATAGCGGAACTTGGAGCAGTGCAACCAAAAGGCAGGATAAAACTATCAAAGGAAATCCGTGTGTGCATTTATATTTTTATATATTTATATTCTCCTAAATGTAACAAAGGTACCCAGCTTAAAAGAATCCTTTTATAAAAGGACAGTATTTTATGTAGCTGAGTGTAGAATATGATAATAAAATGTATCTTTTATGTTAAGATCATATTGCAACCTGTACATGTATGATATACAATTAATCAAAGGAAAAATAGGGCAAATAAATCACACTTTGATTTTTTAATTAAACTTTATAAATTTGGGGATAATTGTTGATTCACATGCAGCTGTAAGATTTAATACACAGCCCTGGCCGGTGTGGCTTAGTTGGTTGAGCATTTTCCCATGTACCAAACGGTGCCTGGTTGGATTCCCCCTTGGGGCACATGCTGGGGGTAAGGCCTGATCCCCAGTAGGGGGCATATGATAGATCTTTCTCTCCCTCTCTCTCTAAAAATCAATCAAAACATATTACTATTTTTTTAAAAAAGTATTAATACAGAGGTCATGTATACCCAGTTTTCCCAGTGGAAACATCTTGCAACACTATAATACAATATCATAGTCAGGACATACTGATGGAGTCAAGATACAGAACATTCCCCATCCTTCTTGTTGCCCTTTTATAGCCACATCCAGTTCCCTCTCACCCTCACTCCTTAATCTCTGGCAACCACTAAGTCTGTTCTCCATTTCTATAATTTCATTTCAAGAAGGTTGTATAAGTGGAATCACATAGTTCAGAGTTCATTTCTTTATATTGCTGAGGAATATTCCATGATATGGGTCTACAGCTTGCTGAATCATTCACTGAAGGGCATCCGGGTTATTTCTAGTTTGTGTTTATTCCAAATAAAACTACTGTGAACATTAATGTTCAGATTTTTGTGTGAACATGTCTTTATAATTCTTTGGGATAACTGCTCGAGAATGATACAACTGCTGGATAGTATGTCTCTGCATGATTGGTTTTCCCTCAAATAACCCATTTATTTTACATAGGAAATTGGATTTGGAAAATAAATATTTATACATTAATGACATATTCTATTTACTTATTTATTAAGTTGTGAGGATTTAAAGATGTTAAATGTACCTTCTCAAACCTTGCTGGCAAAAGAGATGGGTAATAAATACTGACAAAATTTTCAAACTAATTTTCATTGAGTGCAATTAGTAAGTGAAAGTAAAGAAACCAATTTCATATGATTGTTTATATACAATCATATGAAAAAGGAATGATCAAAGACTAGTCCTCTGGTAGTTATCTTTCCTTTGGTATCAATATCATATGTCTTCTATTGATGAAATAAACCCATAGGAAGTAAGACTCAGAAATAACATACTCAGACAGAAAAAAAACCATGTAAAGTATTAACAAAGGAAACTAAAGCCTGATTGTTCAATCTTATTAAGAACAACTTTCAAATCTTAAATATTTGTACTAATTTCTTTCAGAAAACCCACAGCCGATTCTAATCCCAGCCTATGTGTAGTTGAGAGTTATAGGTGACAGTCGAGGAAAGTGTGGGGTTCAGTGCACCTTCTGATTTACAGTTTCGTGCCATTTTGCCATCAATACTAACGTGAACAACTCCATGTCTGTTTCTCGTTGACAAAAAGCATGACAAATACAAAAAATGGTACATTATTATGTCATTTTTAAGTTTTTGTCATTCAAGACACATTTGAATACCAAATCAGTTGTCACATTGTCATAGATTTTGAAAATGGCCAACCTGAAATCAGTTGCTGGATGAACTCGGAGTTTTTTTCCTTTTAAAAGAATTAAAACCAGATAAATGTTTGAACATAATGTTAGTACCTTTTCTTCGTACACTGGGAACTTTGGGCTCTTTTCATTTCCTGTGCGGTTTTCTGTTTTATCACTAGTGCTGGGCTCTCTTCCTCTTACTTACTTAGCTGGTGGAGCAGAGTCCCTGGGTGGCCAGTGAGTCGGTTCCTAGGAGCGAGGCCCTGCCTGCACGTGGGACGCGGGCAGTGCGAGGACAGGGCCATGTGCCAGGAAGCGGGGCTGTCATCTCGCAGTAGGAAAGCAGCAGCGTTGGATTATATGCATGCCCTTGCATCTTCTGAAAGAAAAAAGATATCTTAAGGTGAAGCAGTAGTATTAATTGGGGGGGGGAAATGCAGAGGAAAGGAAGACCCGCCCACAACTTCTTCGTTTTTGTTGCTGGGGAGCTTGTCTTCACACAGCTTCAGAAGAGCGAGCACCCTCACACAGATACTGCGCGTCAGCTGGTCATCGATCTTCCACGGAAACGAATTCCCNTTCTTCCTTCACACAGCTTCAGAAGAGCCAGCACCCTCACACAGATACTGCGCGTCAGCTGGTCATCGATCTTCCACGGAAACGAATTCCCTTTGGCAGAGCTGTGGCCTATCACTGATTCTGGGTGTTGAAAGCAGAAAAGCGCAAGACTCTGGCTTTTCTTCTCTGTCTTTGTGTACAGTCACTTTGGTTAATGGCGCAGCCTATCAGAAACTGAAGTAACAGCTCATCCAGAAATTCTTCCTGCGCCGAGGCCTCTGAACTGTCCCCCAGCACTGTCCTGTCATCTTCCAGAACAGGGAACAAGGTGTAGGAGCCGCTGGCGTTCTGCCCTCCCTCCCTGGTTACTGCTCCACCCAGGAAGGGGCGGGATCATGACTAATTTTTTCAGAAACCACCAAGCTTGTTTTCCAGGATGGCTGGCTGTGCCATTCGGCATTCCCAATGGTAATGAATGAGTAATANGGCTGTGCCATTCGGCATTCCCAACGGTAATGAATGAGTAATACAGTTTCTCGGTAAGTTGTGTGTGTGTGTATGCTGTGTGTGTGTGTATGCTGTGTGTGTGTGTGTGTTTTTAAAAAATTGTATGATGCATGAATTAAGGAGTTTAAACCTATTGATCAGGGGGAGAATCTNTGATGCACGAATTAAGGAGTTTAAACCTATTGATCAGGGGGAGAATCTGTGGTGCAGTTGGAGGGAAAGCATTCAAAATTAGCTGGTAGAAATGGACTTTAAGTTAATAATGTCAGGATAAACCGTTCAGGGCAGATTGACAGATGGGAGGAAACATGAAAGACCTTGTGGAAAGAGAGAGAATGACATGAGAACAGAGAGTATGGCCTGGTTGATGTTCTTTTAGCAAATTAGTAGCCAAGAACAGGTGGGCATAGGAGCAGAGAGAATCAAAGACCTGGGTCAGAGCTGCACTGGGCATTGCCTTCAAATAGGGCCACTGTCTTGTGGGCATGAGGCAGCAGTAACAGCAAAAATTATTCAGCACGTATTACCTATCACCTTTTTGCAGATGAGGGAAACCGTGGTACTGAGAGGGCACATCACTACTCATAATCACCCAGCTAGGAAGTGATTCGAACCCAGGCATTCTGGCTTCAGGGTCCATGTCATTAAACATCAATTGATGCCATCATGACTCTCATAACTAAAGTGGGGGAAAATTCATGCCATGTAAGTTATCAGTAATTAGGTGCAGGACCATTCAGAATTTAGTTATGCCCACCTGGAGGAAAGCTCTAGAGTGGATCTGTTATTACAGTAAAAGAATCTAATGTGAACTGAAGAGTCAACCTAGGTCTTGAGGGCTAGAAAATGGCTGGCTTCTTTTGCTCTGCTACTTCTCCTGGCCGTTTGGACGTTGCTCGTGGCTTGTGTTACCTGGCCTCTATGACTGCTTGAAAACCGCCCCTTAGAAATCAGAGTTGCCAGGCTAGGAAAAAAACAAATCCTCCCTCTTCTGGTGCCCAAGGGAGCAGAACCCTCTGGCCAGCTGCTGCCCACCCAGAAAGTAAACCAAAACAGGCAATCCGGGGGGATTGGGGGAGCCACAGGCCTTGGAAAGAAGAAAGCAAATAGGATCCAGGAGTGTGGAAGGCTTCACCTAGACAGACCTATAAGTAGTTACCTTAGGCCTCAAACAGGGTTTTTTATGTCCTTGCCCACTGAAAATGAACAAGGTGAAATTGGCGAATTATTGTGATGCTCTTATGAATGAAAACAGGGCTACCTGGCAGATCTGGCAAGCTCAGGGGGCTACCCGGCAGGCCTAACAAACTCAGTCATTTAAAGTAACCACACAGGATGTTCTGATCATAAAAATTCTTAACTGAATAGGTTATAATAGAAAGTTATGTCCTAAGGCCTATATGATACATTAATCTTTATGTTGAACAAGCCCCGTCCATTGTTTTTGTGCACCTAGGATAATATATTTAGAATGCCAGAATAATCTCTCCTGCAGACCTCCAGAGATAAACACACGTGGTACCTGGTACTGATTCTGGGTGTCGAAAGAATTTACCTGCATACCTCTGTACAGTTAAATGTTGACAGTTAACTTTGTGTGTTAAATGTTAACTATCCAGCACCCACCAATGTAAAAGTAGGTATCTCTCCCCTTTTACTTTTCATTCAATCCTAGAGATTTCCCTGCTTTGCCTTCTCCTGCCTTTTCATTTACCACCAATGGGATTCATGTAACCTTCCTTCCATCTAGCCTTTTGATTTTAATATATAAAATAAACTACTTCTTGGAGCATTTTCTCAAACCTTTGATATTTTGATCGAAGGTCTGGCTCTCAACTTTGACTCAAACTCTGAACTTTTCTTCAGGTTGGAACTTCCTTTCGTCAACACCCTCTAATGTCTGATGAAACCATAAATGTCCCACAGCTTGACACTTTTCTATTTTTAATCTATCTTTTCATCTGTTCCTCTGTCATACCTGAGATTTCTGTTTTATTTTTTATCCTACCCTTTCAAATGCTTGTCTCTGCACATGCCAACATAAACGAACAAGTGACTTTGATCCAGCTGTTTGGGATTTATTTCCGTTGTCCTGAAAGTAAGGCAGTCATTCTTTGCCAAAATCTTTGAATCCAGCTGTCTTAATCCATTTGGGCTGCTATGGAATATGCTAAACTGGGTGTCTGATAAACAACAGAAATTTATCTCTCACAGTTCTGGAGGCTGGAAGATCCAAGATCAAGGTGCCAGCAGATTCAGTGTCTGGTGAGGATCTGCTTTCTAGTTCAGAGACGCCGTCTTCTCACTGTGTTCCCACACAGCAGAAGGGGCCATCGAGCTCCACCCGGGACTCTTTTGTAAGGGCAGGAATCCCATTCTCGAGAGCTCCACCCTCATGACATAAACATTTTACAAAGGCCCCACCTCCTAACGCCATCCCACTAAGAATTAGGATTCAACATACAAGTTTGGGGGGGGGCACCCAAACATTCAGCCTGTAGCACCAACCAAGACGATTTTTAAAAGTTCCTTTNTTTACAAAGGCCCCACCTCCTAATGCCATCCCACTAAGAATTAGGATTCAACATACGAGTTTGGGGGTGGGGGGGCACGCAAACATTCAGCCTGTAGCACCAACCAAGACGATTTTTAAAAGTTCCTTTTGGTGAATGCAATGAACTTTTGGCAGAGTTGGAGCACAACTAACGTTAATGATTTGCAAGCGAGATCATCAAGAGAGCTGGTTACTGTTTTCCTTTTGAAGACCTGGGAGCACGCTAGCAGTTCAAAGGGGCTTTTGCAGCCTCTCAGCTTCTGAGAGCAGAGAACAGAGGGTAGTTTGAACCACATGAAACTGTTGATGCTGCAAGTGAAAAACAGTTGGCTACTGGCAACTTCCTGTGCCCCACCGATGTGCCATTACTTTCAGGGTTTCTCTTGGTTTTAGTTGCATTAGCTGTCTGAAAAGTTGAACACCCACCCAAGTCCGGAGCTGGAGGAGCACCTCACTTGGTTGGGGCCTGGTACCAAAAAATAAAGTGCAGGCTGTTTCTGCTCAAGCAGGTATTTCCTTCAAACATCTTCTGAAGATACATGAAACCCCCAGTGGGGCAGGGACAGAAACATGGTTTCTTACCACTACATCCTTTCTTTCTTTCTTT